TTTTTTATATTTCAATATAATTTCTATCACTAATCACTGCTCAGCTTATAATACAGAGAACTGGTAGTTATTACCAACATCGGCACACAAAAGTAGGTCAAAAGGAACTTAGTAGCATCCACTAAACATCGGACACATCTATCATATCAAGTAATAAAAACAAGAACACTGATAGACAAACCAAGCACAGCTGTAGCTAGCAAACGTAACTGTAGTTAACGGAACTGTAGTTAACGGAACTGTAGTTAATGGAACTGTAGTTAACGGAACTATAGTTAACAGAACTGTAGCAAACGGAACTGTAGCAAACGTAACTGTAGTTAACGGAACTGTAGTTAACGGAACTGTAGTTAACGGAACTATAGTTAACAGAACTGTAGCAAACGGAACTGTAGCAAACGGAACGTTATCTCAGCATATTTCTGTTTTTGAAGCCCACAGATAACTTTAATTAATTGCAGCGTTTGAGCCAGAAATAAAAAAATGTCCGTCGCTGCGACCTCCCTGCCTCACGTTGTCCCAAATAAAATCAAAGGCAGGATCAGTGCTGTTAATAATAGTCAGAATACCTCAGTTTTTTCTTTTCAGCGTGTCACATTATTATTTTTATCATTCAATTAGGATCTCTGGACATTCAGGACTCAGCAGAAACGTGTGCTGTTAGTCTGTGATATTACAACGTAACTTTATCTCAGCTTCCTGATGGAAGACGAAGAGCTGTCAGCAGGATTAATTTACATGACATCTGATATCTTCAAGCTCTAACTGCTGGATGTGACCACCAAACATAATTCCAATTTTGCAAGTCGTGACTGGACTAATGAAACAGTCATTTCAAGTGTTACAATAATGAAGCTGTTATCACCAAATGTGAGAGTCAGTAAATTAAATTTCCAGTTCCTTGAAGTCGGTTTAAAGCAAAATACTGACTGAAGTATTTGTCAGTGGCACATCCTCCTATTTTACATCCATATGATTTTATTAAAAATGTTCATTTATGTTGTGTAAAGGAAAGGTTTTTCTTATGTTTTAAATTGGTATTTTATTCATTTTTTATCATTTCTGGTGATAATTCTGTCTGATTCAAGTCTGATTTCATTTGTTTTAATCCTGGTTCAACTATGGAAAGCACTTTGTAACTTTGTTTTGCAAAATGATTATTATAATAAAACATATCCATTATCAGTTCTCATATAATGTTAATATTATTTAGTAGGAGTCAGTGGATGTTTTCACAGTACAGCGACCCACTAGGATTTGGTTTCTTGATGCGTGCAGCCAAGCAGGAGCCTTTAGTCACCTAGAGTATGTTAATCTCCATCCCAAACCCGCCCACATTTTCATAATGTCTCTTCCCTATGATGTCTATATAAATCAGACGAAATGGACTCGCAAGATTTCTTTAATTTAGACGAAAAAAAAAAAAGATTTAAGCCCCTTTCTTCAAAGCTGTAAAATCTGAACGCGGGATTGGCCGAACGCTCGTACGAGTACATGGAGAGGTTTCTGCAGAGGCGGCCATGGTGGAAGTGGGTTTTAGTCGCTCTCAGATGTTAGTGGATTGCTCACTGTATGTATATGCCTCATGTCTTCAGAGATCAGATTGCAGAAGAAGTGGGTGGGCTGTCAGCTAGACTGCTTTTCAAGAATCCTCCACAAACCGTGCTTGCCAAAGTGATGTAACACTGTGATTTCTCAGCAACAACAAGAGAAAATATGTTGTTTTTTGTTACCTCTGAATGCTCCTCGGCACGTGCCACCTCTTCCTGCAGGAGGTTCTGCGCCGTCTGCAGGCTGTGCTTCTGGCCGCGAGCCTCTGCAATGACAAAGAAACATCAGTGATGCATGAGAGAGGAGGAGGACGAGGTATGACTTCACTGGAGTTGGAAGAAAGAAAAAAAAATCCAGTAACTGAGAAACCACAGCAGAGAAAGTTATTTTCCAAATCACAAAGAGCCTTCGGGGTATGTGCTGACTAGGAGACGGTGGCGATGGGGTGGACAGTTGTTGGCGAGAAAAAAAGGGAAAACAGGGGCTGTTAAATATTCAACTTTGAGCTATTTTGGGAAGCTGGTCTTAGTTTGAGTCGACCACGAAACTGAAATCCATTTCAGAGTCTCATTTTTGCCATCCACTCCTATTACTTTCTCAGATACCACGATTTGGATTTCATCATTTTCTCCTGCATGCAGCCAATAAATGTACGAAACGTCACACAGAAACGAAATAAATAACTATGTTTTAATGATCATTTCCAGGCTCTCTTTTGACATCGTACCT